ATTCACGATGTACACAGCTTTTGAAGTGGTAACGAACAATTATTAAACCAAATTTCAAGATGAAACTAGGACGCTATACACAAAAAAAAACAAATCAGGTGACAGGTGACTAGTGCTGATGCCGGTGAAATGGAAAGTCTCTGGTGTAATATGAGGTGTTGGGAACATCGGGAAAACTGATCACAAACCAAAAAAAACATAACCTGAAGGAAAAAAATGTAGTGTAACAGACATGGACAGAAATCAGAACAAATTGATCGATTAATCGATCCGAACCGATCGATGGTCACAGTACAGTATGCATAACGAAAGTACTGTAGCAGCTCAATTCTAGTAGGGTAGAAAAACTGAGAATAAGAACGACGACAAACCCAACCACGCACTATGAGGATGTCCCTGTGTGCTAAGGTGAAATGAAAATGAGGAGATAGGTGAAGAGATATGATTGAGCAAAGATACGGTAGAACTTAAAAGGGATCTGGCGAAAGCCGTGTAGACACACAATGCTGGACATACAGTAGGAAATAAATTCTGCAATTCTGCAAAAAATAAGGAACGAAAGATGAACTGAGCTTGCGAAAAAATGATCATAGGGGACGCTGTGAAGGATTTTTCTACAACAACAAAACACGCTCACTAATTTTAGAGAAAATATCGATTTTTTGAGATGCAGCGCAAGAGGGCAGAAAGGATGCTGCCGCGTTCTTGGGGCTGTTCTCAAACTATAGATAGGAAAGTGAAGATCAAGTAAAGCTATGACTGCAGAGAAGTTGGCCCCTAGGCCTTCACGCCCACGCACCGAATGGCGTGTGACATCAGCGTCCCTACTAGAATTCAGAATAATAGTTACGATTGCTTTGTAGTGTGACCAAATCGTCGTCATCGACGTAATGCATCGTGCCGGACTCGATCGCTCGCCAATAGTTCGACTTCATCCAGCCTTTATCGACCTTAAAATGAATTTCTTCGTAATGAGTGATATTGATGGCTATCGATCGGAAAACGATGTTGACTGGCGAGAAATGTTAGTTTTAAGATAGACAGATTGCAGACAGATTTAGCGCATAGATTTGATTCGCTTACGTTATAACTTACGACCATTGACTTCGGTTTAGACGGTGATCTATCCTCCTAGAATCGATCGGAGAAAGTACGCAAAACATATTCAATGAGGGTCAACTTACCTCTAATCCTATGACAAGTATGAGGAAATTACTCATAACCATCAAATTACAATACTCTAGCGAAATCCCATTTATTCTTGAGGAATGAAAGCAACAATACCATTTCTCAGGACGTGTGTGACGTGTTTTTCAGCAGACATTTGCAATGCTAATATTTGGGAAGAGAGCTAAACTTGAAACACATCCTTTTTGAAACAACCCGCAGAAAAGGCGCACTATAGGCAGCTTTAGAATCAATTCGCGAAGTGACAGAGCAAGTAAATGACTTAAAACTCCCTGGGTATGCCTCGTTAAGCCCCAGTGATTGCTACGTGACTGGAACCTGGCCTGGCGCTCATGTCGTTAGGGGTTCGGCTTTAAACCAGACCATCTAAAAACCGCCGGTAGGTGACACTGGGACTAAGCGCATGAGAAGGGAGAAAAGCCAGGGAGAACAAAAACGCTCACGTCCTCTCACGGAATCTAAAAGATCAGCAGACGGCAGCGATGGCAGCAAAGCCTCCCTGACTCGATCTTCAAGGAATAAAGGAAGGAGGGATCATGCTCAAAATATCCCCTTCTATACATGGCGCAGTCGAAGCAGCGATGGGTCGGTCACTTACACCGCACTGATGACAGATGGAGTCTACGCGTGACGGAGTGGCTCCCAAGAAACAAAACGAGACCTTAGGACGACCGCCAACTCGGTGGGCCGACTCGTTTTCAAAATTTTTCAGAGAACGCGGCCTACATTGGATGCAAGTTGCCAAAAATCGGGCTATTTGGAAGAGCTGCGGTCCCCACTGAGAAGATCGCCAGTTGATGGACTAGCAGAGTAAGTAAAATGAGACTTTATCTATGGAGAAAATCAAAAAGAAACGATTTTCAGTAGAATGGAAGCATACTGTCTGGAAATGCTATTTACAGAAACTTACAGAATTTGAAGCAGGTTCAAATAGAGAGTAGCGAAGAAAAACACTTACCCGCAGGGTTGCCAACTCTCCTTCTTGGACTTTGATGGCGTTATCAACAAACTGTTCTAGATTCAACGTGTCGATCTCGTCGATCGGAACGTTAAACTGGTCTCCGAGGTTTTTCACTAAGGCCTTCATAGAAATCCTGAAAAAATTGTCATGTGTAAGTTCCCCATGAAGTAGTAGGCAGTTTCTGTCTTATTATCTCCCGTGAAGGATAACGCAGGTGTCAGACTTTGCGCTCGATCGTTGGCGAAGCACGCGTTTCGTTAGCTATTGGTCGCAAAGTGTAAATTCTTTGTGACCTGCAAGCCTGTTGGCCTATGTACGCAGAAGGCAACCTAACCAAATCGGTCCGGGAGTAAATTACTACATCAATTTCATTCAAGCAGATTAAATCTTGTCACGAGCATAGTTCTTTCCATATTTCATATTTAATATGATTTGAGCAAAAAGTCAAGAACATCCTGCCAAAATGCGAGCTCCAGAAGGAGAGTATAAGTAAATGCTCAGTCTTCTTACAGAAACGAGCTGATCGTGAGAGGGGATTTGATTCACTATGCCCCTCTGTAAAGAAAATCGTGGAGATAAGAAGAGTTTTTCAAAGCCCATTGCTGAAAATTGAGAGCACGGGGTAGTTCCAGCTCGCTACAGGATGCGCCAGCGACTTTCACTTCGGCTCGCAGGGAGTTGGGTCTCTCCCCGGAACGGAAGGATATGTACTAATAATAATTCTTGAAATTCGGCTATTCAGGAACGGATGTGACTCCAAGAAAACATGGATACCGCTTTCATTACTTCTCCTCTGTCATCGTGGGAATCTTCCCAATGACAGTTTGTAAGATAAAGTGGATACACGCCAGGATGTACACATTGCGAAGTAAAGTTTGAGGTCTTTAGTGCATTTAGCTAACTCACGGCAATATTTGGAATGCTTTTAAATGAGGATTAAAGGCAGCGATTGAGTTGGTTTGATGGATCAAATATGAACGCAGAGTTACCAAAGCAGGTGCGTCAGCAAAGAATAAACCCAAAAATATTGCGAAATCCGACGAGTCAATCCTCGACCGATTCGGCCAGGCAGCAAAGCGGGCGAAGTACGGTGTTTCGTGGTGAAAGGTTGCGTCATCTGAAAGTCCTAGCAGAGTCAACCCTGCGTTGCGCAGTTTTCAACGGCCACGTTGCGCAGTTTCGCCCGATTAGACACGTTCTCTCGCGAACATTCACACTCGCATGCTCGAGCCGTCTGCGTCTCCGCCCATACAGCGTGCGTTGAGGATCTCTCAACGTGCCGTTGCGAACTGCGCAACGCAGGGTTGACTCTGGTCCGAGCCCAAAACCTTGAAAGCCGCCATCGTTCAGAGAATTCCCGCCACGGGGGTTTTTTGATATAAATACCACTAGCATTCGATTTACTTTCAAAAAGACGAATTCTTACAAGAGTCGTGTCCTGTAAAACTGTTTTTTATTCTATCGTGCCAGATTGACCTGAACGGAAAGCCGTAAATCCTTCAAAAGTCAGCGGGTAGAGTGAGCGTCCGTGCTAGGGTTATCGATTCAGTTTTTTGGGTTCCTTATTGACCATCGCACCTGCTTTGGCAACTCTGCTTTCATTTCCTTATCAATCAGATAGTAGCAGTCGCTGCCATGAATCATCATTTGAAGCATTTTATATATTGACGCTGGGACTGGTCAATTGCGCTAACGATTTCACACTTTACTTCACAGCATGTTAACTTACCGGACAGGGGGTCAACCGTCCGTTCGAACTGTTCGAACGAAGGGGTCGCAATTTCGAGGACTGTCAGCCACAGGCGCGTGCGTGGCGTATCCGAGGGCAAGAATTGTTTGTGCAGACCGCATTAGATTCGATTAATTATGCACAGAGAGACAGTTTTAGGCAAATTACGGTGTTTTCCTTGAGGAATAGAAACAGTTGAATGCATCCCTATGAAAGGTTTGACTTCTCGGGGCTGAAATTAAAGTTCTTCGGGACCTAATTTTCTGAGGACGATTCTTCCAGACAACGGTAAAACACATAAGAAAGCAGAAATCTCGTAGTCTTCAAAAATGTCTTCGCCCCTCCCCAACAAGTTCTTTGAAGGAAGTTATTATTGCTGAAAGCTCAAAAACTCGCATGTGCTGCTCAAAAACCTATGGGAACAAAATGTTCGAACGTGTGATTTTCTCGGAAAATGGATTTTGAAAAACGGTTTGGTGCTTGTTAGAAAGAGCAAATCCTGTACTTTCACACCCATGAAAAAAGTGCATCACAGAAATGAAAATGAAGTGAGTTATGGTCGCTGAAAGCCCAAAAACTCGCTTTTGCACGAAAAATGTTCGAACGGGACAATTTTTTGAAAAAGGGGACAATCACTAAACTTTTTATACTGTTTTGTTAGAGAAATATTTGAAGTTTCTGAAACTTTTTACAGATTTCCAAAATGTCGCATACGAAAGATTTTATGGGCCTTCAAAGTTGAAGGTGCGCCTTCTTAGAATTTTGGGTTTTCCACTTCTAACAGAAGTACTTTCCGGAGAGTTAGGCAATCCTTGTAGTTTTCTGGAAGCGCACCTCAGGCACAATCAAAATCTACCTCAACAAGTCAAAAAAATACGTACGTCCAAGAAAGTTATTCCCCTCTAAAATTTTTTCTTCGCCGCGTCCCGTTCTTCCAGCGCCCGGGTGATACCTGCCGCGCTCCAAGGCCGACGCGACGACGCGCAGACGCTTTCTGGCGCAACGGATTCATGTCTAGCACTCTTATTAAAAAAACAGGGGTCGCAACTGGACCCCCTCGAGAGCTAGGGGGTCGCAAAAATCCCGAAAATGTTCGAACGTGACGGTTGACCCTGGTTACCGGAGCTCCACTTATGCTAAAAGGAAGTTAACATCACTCTCCACTGCTCTTTTGTCACATTTTTCTTCTATATTTCAAAACCTCCTACATTTTGCTGGGATCATATGCGTTAATTCAACTGAGTGGAGAAACTGACTTTTTACCACCGAACCACACTTGCACATTGGCGACGTTTTCCATCTTCCGTCCAAAGTAGTGCAACTTTTTCAATGTGTCGGCTGCGATCTCGATGGCGATCGTTGTCAACGCCAAACCAACAGTGCAATAGACCAAAGTGATCACCTGGAAATGTTGGCTCATTAGTTGGAATGGGAACATGTTCCAGATGAAGCGTAAACTTACTAGATAGGTATCGCTCTGAGGGACCAAATCGCCAAGACCTATCGTCGTTAATGTAACGAAATTGAAGTAAATAGCCTGAATCAGAGTTTTGTTTCAATGAAGATACTTAGTGATGGGTGCCCGACAGGAGGCTCGTCGCGCGGCAAGAAGGCAGAGGACGGACGAGTCGCAGCGCGTGATGTGATGTAGGACGTACAATGGTACATTCTATTTAACTTGACGCGAAATCACTACAGTACGCGCTGCGACTCGTCCGCTGACTCTGCCTTGTTGCCGCGCGACGGGCCTCCTGTCGGGTACCCCTTAGCGATAGACAGGAAGCTAGTGATAGTGACCAGTGTAAACTTCTGCAGTAATTCCTAGTACTGATGAATTATCACGATTACCTCGAAGACACCCATATTCGGTTCATATGCAGCAATGGCTACCGATCCGATAATAATGTAAATGACGAACGAGATGAAAAGTACAATGCCGTCAGAGGTAGAATCCTCATCCTCTTCCAGCTCATCATCGGTGTCCGATGAGCCATCATCGTCCACCGATTTCGGCTGAAAACGAAAAATTTATAAAAGTGAAAATTTTGATTGGGGAAAAAATTCTGCAAATTTGTGGAATCCTTAGATGACCTCGATCAGAGCCCTCCCAGACTTTGATCTTTGACAGTGCAGTCAGGTGCTCAAGTCACCATTTTTCATTTACAAGATGTTAAAATAATTAATGCATATTTTGGCTGCGTGACAAAAACGGTGCAGTGTCAAGCCGCTTCCCAATCGCTCGATCCAGAGATCAAAGCTCGGATTGTAGTGGCGGTGTGAACCACGGGGTTTCCCGACCAGGAGTTCGGTTAGTTGGTATAAAAGGGTCCTGGGGAAACACCGATGCTACGCCAGCAAGGCCCCAAAGTCACTACATGTCTAAGAAAACCAGCACTTGCGATCCACACTGTTCGTTCACGTGAGGTTAAAAACAGAGCTGTTCGCCCCTCAGTGGGTATGGGAAAGAGTCAATCACTTCATTGCATAGTGTTCGGCTATTTGAGAGAGAATCAATCCCTGGGGAAAATATCATGGAGAATAGCGGTTTTTGAGTGGTCAATTATTGAATAGCAGCAAAAAATGGTCATGCCCATCTTGGGAATAATTAAGTTTTCATTGGTTCTTCGATTGCATTATCTTTAGTGGACATAATTTAGAGATTGATTTACATCAGGAACTGGAATAACGTCTTCAGTTGTCCAATCCATTCAGCAATAAGAACGTGTGCGAAGTAGGTGCTGAACGGAAGTTCGAAATCCATCCCGCACGCGCGGTCGCAGTGCGTGTTCATAGAACAACTGCTTACAGTAACCATCGATTATTTCAACCGAGTTTCAGTATTTCCCGAGTGTCCTCGTCCTTCTTCAGTCGTAATGCACTTCACATTCACGATTGGCAGGAATACGGGTGATGATTAGGATATTATAAACGAACATATTCTATAACCAAACTGACTCTAAACTTTGAACAAAAAGTGAGGTGGAGGCCACGAAGTGGTGGTATCGGCGTTGAGCAGAGAAGAAAAAAGTTTTTCGAAAACGTTAGAATTAAGAGCTTACTCAGTCGTGTAATTTCAATGTGCTAAGGTAATGAGACACTGCGAGGAGGTTCGAATTTTGGGTGATAGAGCGCTATCGGTGAGAGGGCGCCAGACGACATGATTTTGCGAAAATGGAAGCGATTAAAGCGGTCCAAAAGGCGCTCAGCGCCATTGTCGCGCACTTTTGAGCAGGGAAAATGGGACTATCTGCGACTATAGGGGACAACTTTACCTTAACTGTCGAAGGGGACTAATCCGCCTGAGAATCATGTGGGGATGTGCCTTCAAATCAGCATCTCTTCTAAAAAGCAAGTGCTACTGTAATACTGTTATCTCATTACTGTTGTTATTTTTAACTCACTTTATTAAGAGCTAGGCACAAGTTTTTTCTAAAATTATTATAAACAAATAATGCATCGAACAAATAAATAAAATAAATAAATAAACAACGAAGTCAGCTACCGTCACATGTCCGATGAGCGTGTGATAGCACCCAGTGAAGATAATTCGTTTCACTTGCTACGGAGGCCCTATTACGCCCCCTACATCCGATTGCCCTATTGTCACAGGTGAAGATATGAAGGCGTGTTTGTGTGGCTTGGATTGTGAATTCTAATACGTCACTCTACTATCAGTGAGATCCTTGCTGCGACAAAAATAAAGGATTAGCCCGTGCCCATTGACGATGAGAAGTTCGTCCTCAGCTGGCTCAAAGGGTATGCCCGTTGAAATTTGGAGGCCCCTTCAGGCAACCACAACTTCATTTGCCACTCAGTATTCTGCGAGGGATGAAGATATGATGAATAGCAACTGACTGTTGAACCGATGTTCCGTCGACTCTCGGCCATGAAGACGCTTGCTTTTCTTGCCTTGTACTTCGGCTACAGAGCGCCGTGGCGAATCGCCGTGAAAAGGTCGCGTAGGATTGGTTGGGGATTCAGTCATGGGACGCCATTGAGTTAAAGCCCGATGGAAAAAACTGCAGGTAATGATGGGCAAGGCTAGCAGAAGAGTTCGAGAGAAGAGCAAGATTGGGCGTAATGGGAGCAAAATCGAGAGAATCAGTAAAAAATCTGCAGGATTTTCCGAAATCCATTGTTCAAGGACACTCTCCGAATGATGACTTTCGCTTTTGTGGGATAATTGTTGAAATGATAATTGTTGGTGATACAATTGATGGCTTGCCGATTCCAACAAGGAGGGGCGTTGCGATTGAAAGGAGCACCCAAACGCACTGGCGAAAGGCCGCGAGGCAAGCATTCTTTTGTTACCCAAGGATGAAGCGTCAGGAAGAAGGAATCCGGGGTAAGATTTAATTGACCTGATCTATGGCATGGCGGCATCCGAAGAAATTCTACATTCCCTGCGATTCACAGTTTGCTTCTTTGTGCCATGTAGTACAAAAGCCCGTTCAACATACAAGAAATCAAAGATACTGCATAGGAATGAAGAGTTCAACAATTTGTAATCTTGGAGGCCTCATCAAGCGAGTTGGTATTAGAGCAGTTCATGCATTACAGTGTGTGCCCCTCCATACTGCGATAGGTTGTTGTCCCTTCTCAATTAGATGACATATGCGACTTTCATGAGATGTCGGACATTGACTATCACGACGGTGGCTTAGGTTTCGTACAGCTACTCTAGAAGTCCTTACCTGGCACACTTGACAAATGGTCGTGTCCATGATTTTAGTACAGTAGCCAGGAATTTGCCCAGATTGGCAATCGCTAACATTGTGAACGGTACGCCGACCAAACCGTACAGTATCACAAATATCCGACCATTAAACGTGCGTGGAGCGACGTTACCGTAACCTCAATCAATAACCAATAATAAAGAAAGTGATCACCATTCACTGCTATAATCGACTTTCAATTGTGTACCTTAAAAATAGAGAAAACAAGAATTTTAGTTCGACCAAATTTGAAAAGAGGTTCGGAGTGACGTCACAGGGACACACTGAAGGAGAAATTCAAAAAAAAACTGTCAAAAATTCGTCACCAAAAATTTGCGCACTGGGACTCTCCATTTTGTTTGCTGATTTAGAAGAGTTTATGGCTTTGGAAGAGGTTCAAAATGACGTCACAGTGAAGAAGAAGTTCAAAAAGAAGAGCGAGTTAGAGCGAAAGAGTGCCCTCGGTAGGGTAACTTGTAAAGCACTTGCCCGGTAACGAGAGGTGCGGGGGAGCCGCCTGGGACGAAAGTCGCAAAGTTCCTAACCCACTATTCTTGTAAATCGAGAATAAAACTGTCAAAAACTTCTCGTCAAGACTAGTGAAGAGCTCGCATTAGGTTTGCTAGTCTTAAAGGAGTTCGTGGCTTCGATAAGAGAGGTTCGAAGTGACGTCACAGTAAAGAGAAACTAAAAAAACTGTCAAGAACTCGTGAAACGAAATCTCATTTTGCTTGTTGATTTTGGAGGAGTTATATGGCATGAAAGTGGGGAATACACTTTGATAGAGGTTATGA